TATTCCAGCCTTTCACCTGCATGTTGCCCCCCCCCCTCAGCTTACTCCCCTATCTGTGGAGACGTCCTGGTAGCGTGAGCGTTAGCATGGTAGCGTTAGCATGGTGGCGTTAGCGTGAGCGTTAGCATGGTAGCGTTAGCATGGTAGCGTTAGCGTGCCGACGTGGGCACACCTCCCTGAAGAAGTGGGTGGATTGCCTGTGTCTCATTTGCATTTAAAGAGACAGGCACTCCAAAGCGAGCGCTCTGAACGGGGCTGTTTTGGGTTAGGGTTAGGGTTAGGGTTAGGGTTAGGGTTAGGGTTAGGGTTAGGGTTAGGCAGGGGGACTGAACTGCTATTGGGCTTCATCCTTATGGGATTTTGACCAAAGCTTGTCACAGACATTACATTAGGACACCAGGGAACTAGCTTAACTTGTTGAAATAGGGTGTGATATGTCTCCTTTAAGAGGAGCAGAATCAGCTCACAGAGGCACCAAATGTGACATGAAAGGTTCGGGAAGGAGAGTCTGGACTTTTCCGATGGTTAAGATGGTAGAAGAAGAGCTACAGCTGCTCATCTGAGCAACCAGAGAACATCTCAGCCACAACGGTTGTTTTCTTCACCAGGAAATTTGTCAGAAAGTTTCCAGATTTGAAGTCGTTATTCTTACATACTTTATATATTTAATTGCCCTTTATAGGTGTTGGATGCAGTAAATATTGATATACATATTGTTAGAATTTGGCTATAATTACTCACTTTAGCATTGTTTGCTATCACATGATCTATGTAGATTACTGATTGTTTTATTTTCTTTAATAACTATATTTTGTGTTAAAGTCTCTGGCTGTGTCCACAGACTCTCTTTTCTCTCTTTTTCTCTCTCTGTTGCATTAGATCCACCTTTAGGTCAACACACACACACACACACACACACCATTTGTTAGCACATTCCTGTCATCTGCATGAATTAGGACCTGGCCTGTTCCTGCCCAGAGGGAACTGGCCAATAGGACTTGGTTGTGTCCAGTCCTCCTTTGAGGAGGCGGATGGAGCCCAGGAGATAATGCCCATCACCCAGATCTCAGGGCTCTTTGCCCACTGAGACCCAGAGAGAGGTTTTTGTCTGTCAGAACTTAACTATGACCCAATAAATGTTATTTTTTATACTTTTGATCTTTTCTGGTTTATTCTCAGGTTTCCAACTAAAGAATCGGGCTAACAATATACAAGCACTAACACTCAACACACCCTTAGACACAACCAGGTTTCCTGTTGCTCTGCGTCAAAGTGACAATATTCCTCTGAAAACTTTTCATAACCAAACCTACCAGACAGGAACAGCTTTATTATGTAAGGGAATTCATTTCCCTTCATTCGTCTCGATGCTTATTGTATTATTATCCCCCCCCCCCCCCCCCCTTTCACGTGTCCCCCGGGGGGCGCTGCGCGCTCACTCTTTAATCATTTATTAACGGGCTGACCCCGTCGTTTTGTCCCTTTTCCTTGCGTGATTAACAGCGCATTCACACCTGCAGCTGCGCAAAATGGCGCAAATCTCCGCAAAGCGTTTTCTTTATGGGAAAACATCGCGCTGCACGCTGACCAACTGGTCTCTTATAATAAGGAGAGCAACGTGATTAGACCAGTCCGGGTCCCGCAAAGTGATTCCAAATCAGGAAAAACCTTTCTACAATAAGACTCTTTTTCACATATAGCCTACACATATTTATACAGTGGGGGAAATAAGTATTTGGCCCCTTGCTGATTTTGCAGGTTTGCCCACTTACAAAGAATGCAACGATCTATAACTTTAATCATATGTACATTCTAACAGTGAAAGACAGAATCCCAAAGAAAATTCCAGAAAATCACATCATATGAATTTATAAAAATTGCTAACCATCTGATGAGGAAAAATAAGCATTCTTTGTAAGTGGTCAAACCTGCAAAATCAGCAAGGGGTCGAATACTTATTTCCCCCACTGTATTTATATATGCATATACAGTTTTTCTGTAGTATCTCCTGGCAACACCTTCACCAGTTTACACACAACCCCCCCCCCTCCTCTTTTCTCTCACCTTGCACAGATGTCTTCCCAAAAGCCAGAAGACACAACCCCAGCACAGCCACGGTGAACTTCATCTTCCCTTTACCGGACCGGACCTTTTCCGGGAGGACTGACCCGGTCTAGAGTCCTCTCCCCCCGGCGGGATGCGCGTGCCCGGCAGCCATCCGGAGCTCCGGAGCAGCAGGACCGTCCTCTGTCGCGGGCTGAGCAACGCACGAGCTGCTCATCTCATCTTTCAGAGCGCGAGCTGGAGTGGGGTGGGGGGGGTGTTTCTGGTCCGGTGTCTGCACGCGCCCCTGCAGCCCGTCTGCGTCTGCGTCCCGGTGTGGACGGTGGGGGGGGGGGGGCTGGCCCATAAGAGGATGTTCACGAAGGAAAAAC